ATATGTTTTAGTGGACTCATCTAGCTGAAGGCGCTCGGTCATGCATCCGCACCAGATCACGTGTGGTAACGCTGTGCTCAACATACACCGCAATCGCTAGCCAGATTAGATCAGAGAATTCCGATATATAGGTAATCGCCAAATACACTCTCCCGATCTCCTCGACTCTGTCTTTTGATTTCTTTAGGTGGGAACGAATTATATTAGGTGTTACTGGTAAAAGCGTCATCAAACACTGAATACCTGTGTCATCTTCATAGTGATCATTTATCTTTGTCTACTGTTTCGAAAGGTAATGCTCATATTCAAAAGCGATTATATACATCGCTTGGTTCATTTCATGACTTTATTCTGGACACAGGCAGTATAGAGTCCATTATTTCATTCAAGAACTTGAAATCTTTAGATCCTAACGTTGTTGTACGACCCACTGAAGTATCAATATTAGGGATTACTGGACACAGACTGCCCATATGAGGATGTTGTGAATTGCTAATCAGAGATGATAATTCTTCATACATACCTTGTGAATTTTTAGTTAGCGAAACAGGACTGTCAATATTGGGTTTAAAGAATTTGAAAAGGCTTAAGGTGGAGTTGTCCTTCTTAGTTTCTGAAGAAAGTTCTGATACTTTACTTAAAGATTTGATAGCTATGTGTGCTAAGTGCAGTGGAGGTATGAAAATTCAGCCTATAAAACTTCAAGTACAGGGTGATCCAGTCTTTCTTAAAAGACGAATAATTCCTTATGGTCTTCGAGAAGCAGTAGGTTAGACATTAAACGACTTGTGTACGAAAGGCATAATTGAACCATTTCAGTCTTCAGCATGGGGTACTCCTATCGTTACGCCACTGAAGTCGGACGGCAAGACCCCTAGAATTTGTGGTGACTATAGATTAACTCTTAACTCCCGTTTGTTGAATCAAACGTTCACGACGGTAGAAGCTGAAGATATTCTAAATCGACTTCATAGTTCTAAATTGTTCTCGAAAGTTGACCCAAAAGATGCTTATCTTCAAATTCCTTTAGATGAATCTTCATCTATTTTGACAACAATTAACGCTACTTTTGGTCTGTTCAAATACAATTTCCTTCCATTCGGTCTAAGTTGTTCTCCATATTTCAGGAAGTTATGAATAAAGTAGTTAGTGATCTTCAAGGTGTTGAAATTTATCAAGATGATCTCATTGTTCATGGTTCTAATAAGGTAGTTCATGACCAGAGACTTGTTGCTTTATTGTGTCGTTTAATTGAGAAGAATATTACAGTGAATCCAAATAAGTGTTCATTTTGTTTATCTAGTTTTGAATACCTTGGATACCTAGTTGATGGTTTTGGTTTTAGACCATATATGAAACGACTAGCTCCACTGACAAACGCACCGTCTCCGAAAAATCTTACGGAACTACATTCACTAGTGGGTGCTCTTCAATACTATTCCCGTTTTATTCCTAATTTTTCTTGTTGTGCAAATTGTTTATTTAATATTTTAACATCCAATTGATTCAAATGGAGTGAGGAACAAGAGTCATGCTTACGAAGTCTACTAAATTTTCTTCAAAGTGATGCTGTTCTTCGAACGTACTCCACTAACGTACATTCTGTGCCTATTATTGATGCATCACCTGTGAAGATTAGTGCAGTTTTGGAACAGGAAGGTAGACCAGTCATTTGTGTCTCACGCAAACTTACTGTTACTGAACAAGGTTATTTACAGATTCAGCGAGAAGCATTAGCTGTGTTTTAAATTGTTAAAAGACTTCATAATTATTTATTCGGAAGGAAATTTACTATTGTTACGGATCATGAAGCTTTAAAGTTTATTTATCATCTTGAAAAATCCTTAGCACGTTCCTCAGCTGCTATGGTTCAACGATGGAGTATTGCTTTGAGTGCATATGACTATGCGGTTCAGAACAGAAGTGCCAAACAAATTCAACATGTGGACTACATTCCTCGACAGTCATTACAAGATAGACCTATTAATACTTCGGACTGTTTATTAGTGCAAACTTTACCAGTGAGACGTTCAGATCTCATTAGAGAAACTCGTAGATATTTTGGATGTATACTCAGTGCTATAAGGAAAGGTTGGAATGCTAATTTGAAACGGAGATTTCCTATATATTTTTCAAAGCAGGATGAACTATCTACCACTCCTGATGGTATTCTGTGTTTAAATGATCGTGTTGTCATTCCTCCTTCATTGAGTAAATCTGTTCTTGAAGATCTTTATAGTGGTCATTTGGGTGTTGAGAAAATAAAGTCCCTGGCAAGGCTCACATGTTGGTGGCCAGAGATAAATGCAGATATATGTCGTACGGCAAACAATTGTGAGAAATGTCATTAGTTGAAAAATCAGCCTTCGAAGTGGACTCCATGGCCAGTTTTGTCTGAAGCCTGAGAGATAATTCATACTGACTATTGTGGTCCGTTTCTTGGTAAATACTATGCACTTTTTCAGAGTGGCCTGAAGTTTTTTCACAACTTCACCAAATTCTGATTCCACAATACAAGCATTAAGAAAGGTGTTTAGTCGAGAAGAGGTTCCTATGGTGTTAGTGACTGATAATGGCTCTCATTTTGCTGCAGATGCAGTCACTACCTGGTTGAACGGTATAGGGTGCAAACGTCTATTTACTGCTCCTAGACATCCGTGTTCTAAAGGCCAGGCAGGGAATTTTGTCAGGACATTAAAGACTGCTATTGATTCTATAGCCGCCTCAACATTTAATGAGCTGGAGAGGGGAGTAGATACCTTTTTATTGCAATACAGAAATGCCAGACATTTGGTGACGAAGGAGACTCCAGCAAAGCTACTGAAAGGAAGAATTCTTCGGTCGAGTATGAGATGTTTGGAGTCTGCAGAAGTTACATACTGTCGAGGGAATGATCTTCGACCATCAACGGGTATTGTTCTGAAGAATGTCGGAAAATCAGTGGTGCGAATTCTAGACATCGATGACTTAAGTACACACAGTCGACATGTAGATCAAATACAATTTCAGGAACCAGGTGAGTCTGTTCCAATTTCCGTTGTTAATTCTAATTCTAATGAGCACATTCTAGATAATACAGAATCCTTATCCAATACAATGTCAGACAGACTCAGGATGAATTCGAGAAGAAGACGTACGATTGGTTACAAACACCTAGACTCCAATTTAAGCTATGGCGGATGTGGTGTTTAAATGAACTGATGATAACTTTGTGCTTGTTGATTGCACGATTTCGAATTCCAAATACAATACATTCGTTTGTGCTTGTGTCGTAGTTCTTGATTCATTTGTGTTAATTCCTAGTTCATACTACAATTCAAATATTATAGAAAGCCACATCATTGTCTACACTGCCTCATCCTACCATAATCATCGCCAATATTTGATGGAGAATGCAATTAGGTTGAAGATAGAACGAAATATTCACTACGAATAAATGTGATAAGTTACACAAGAATGACCACACCTGAGACATGCCATTCGACTGATTAAATTAATTCTCTTCACCTTCTCCATTGTTGGGTTTTTCTCCACGTCGAATGTTGAATATCTATTTTCCCAGTCGTCTCGTGTTTAGCTTTGGGGATTGTGTGGTTTGGGCCCAATCCCACTGGAAGCGTAAACAGAGGTGTCATCTCGCGTAACTTGTCAGGTGCCCGGCGATCGGATGACATTCGTTTGTAGAGGCAAATAACTACACAGAATAAATAATTCTGCAAGACTTTGGCGTCACTGCTGACCTCGGTAGTTTTCCCGGAGAGACCATAGATGAAGGCGCTCAGTTATAAATCCTTCGCGAAAGTTAAACAGCTAAGACCAAACGCCTCTCGAAATATCGATAACCTTACACATATGTCATTGAACGACTCGATTTATGGCTTCTTATTTGACTATGTTCACACACTTCGAATATAAGGGTGTAACATGTTAAGGAATTGTCAAACTTTGAATATTTGTGGAATCTTCACTTTAAACAACACGTCAAAATGCGACCCGTTAGTAATGCTTAACTGAACACATTCAGCTAGTGAAGTTCGATAAATCTAGCACAGTTATTGTCGTTATTTATTTTGGGAAATAGTTAACGCAACACAATGTGTCAAGATATTGATTAGTTTATTATTCTTTAATTTCAGAATATCTGATCTTTTCACAAAATACGCACGGTGTGTTATTGATATATGAGACAAAGATGTCACAGCATGCATAAATCGAAGATAAATAAACAAGATAATGGAATGATTTCAAAGGGGAAGAATGTATTTGCATCTGGATGTTGTGTTATTTTAATGTTCCAGTTATTTGTTTAACATATTCAGATAAGACAACTGATTAGAACTGTTGAGTGCAATTGCTGTTATTCAGATAATACGAGATAGGTAAAATGAAATTACACAGCATATCTGATAGAATAGTATTACGGGGTGATTTCAACTAATTGGTGTCAGGGGTATACAGGTGGTCATTAGAAGTAAATCCTAACAAGAGTGTGGCGATGGAACTAAATAACTATAATCATTCGTATCACTACACAATATGTGGATTCGTGTTACCCAAAGTAAGAAACTATAAAAATTTAGGAGTCATACTAAGCAGTAATCTCAAAACTACCAGTAACTGTAGGGCTGATGCTACAAAAGAGCATGGAGTATTATGGTCTATTCGTAGGTCTTTTCAGTATCGGGATGAAGCAATGTATAGATTATTATACCCGTCTTTTCGTGCGATCACATTTGGAATATGGGATTCAAGCAGCGGGCCCTTACTTAAAGTATGAGGCGGATATACTGGAACGAGTCTAATGACGAGGGACTAAGCTGGTATAAGGTATATCTGGCCTATCTTATGAAGACAGACTGAAACATCCTAAAATAGTTCCGTTATCTTACCGTAGAGTACGAGGTGACCTGATATTGGCTTACCGTGAACTAAAAATGACCTTGGTACCAACGGGTCTTATCTTTTCCTTCCGTCTAGGACTGATCATTTGAAAGGACATTCGAAGGTAATCCAAAAACTGAGATCAAAACGTCGACGTCTGGAGTTTCGTTTCTCTCACAGAGTAGTGAATTACTGGCATTCTCAACCAGAACACGTAATATCAGCACCTTCTGTTGATATATTCAAAACGAGATTGGGCCTCTACAGTTTTACAAACTGCAAGAATTAATATAGGTGGATAGACCTCCTTTTCTTATTACAGCTTCCAATCGATTGGTGACAGTCCAAGTGTTTGACACTAGGTATTAACTCGGTGAATTTCTAGCGATACCATTTTGTGTCTATTAACCAACGTCGGATTAGTGGGCATGTTTTTATTTGAGAAACGAAGACTTTGTTTTTCTACTTACATTTGTAGGACACATTTTTCGGAGGACGCGTTGACATATTCAGTTTGTCTACGTGATGGGTTTGTCGAAGCTTAGTATTTCAGATGTTGACCTTAAAGGGAAACGTGTTCTTATTCGGTAAGAATGATTTTAGCTGATTAACGTTGAGTGCTTTATAGAGTTGATTTCAACGTCCCTATGAAAGATGGGAAAGTTACTAACACTCAAAGGTAATAGTCGGAGATTAAAGTTACTTTGTACCATTTTAGAATAGCAGCTGCCATACCAACTATTAAATATGCTTTGGATAAGGGGGCTAAGAGTGTCGTCCTAATGTCCCATTTAGGTCGGCCAGATGGGAACAAAATCGATAAGTATTCTCTAAAGCCTGTGTGCCCTGAAGTGTCAAAGTTGTTAGGCAAAGAAGTTACCTTCCTCAGTGATTGTGTTGGACCTGACGTAGTTAATGCGTGTGCTAACCCTGCTCCTGGAAGTGTTTTTTTGTTAGAAAATCTACGCTTTCACGTTGAAGAGGAAGGAAAAGGTGTCTCACCGACCGGCGAAAAAGTTAGTCCTTTCTTTCATTTTTTTATAGTGTTCGGATTACTATAGTGTCACAAGTCGCCGCCACAAACTAGGGCTAATCAGCTAGGAACGTTCCAATCTTTGTAATTCCTAAATGTTCAGTACCAAAACAACCAACTGGTGGAATTCTTTTTGTAATATAGTGAAGAGTTCCGTATGAGCATCGTTTGTTTTCGTACTGCCACCAAAGTTTTTTTTAGGACTATCAATGATTGGAGCGCTATATTGGTTCTAAAGCTATTTCAATGGAACTATAATTTATAGACGAATCAATCAGATTCCCGTTAGTATATTATGGATTTAGGCTTGATTTTCATCCATCCTTATTTCTAGGCAGCATTCTGACACCATAGCTAATGTCAATTCGTAATAAAAATCCTTACTCTTATAGTCCTAGCGTCTAGTTGTAAATCCTAATTCCTTATGCTAATTTATTGCTCATTTAGTAAGTAGGTGGATGTTCTCAGGGTCAACTATGCGACGCCCAGATGCCTTTAAATTACAGACTCACCGTTATTCCATGTCATATCATCTCTTATATATTGTCAAAATAGAAAGATAAAATTAAGATGCAGATCTAATATTACATACTTCATGTGATGTAAATATACTATTCTGTCGAATTATTCAGCTATTTTATGGATATCTGCAAGATTCGTAAATTTTCTAAGCAGATCATATGGACGTATTGTCTACTTCTTGAGAATAACTCCAATTAGTAATACTTCCGGGCACCATATATTTGCTTAACGTTAACTAGTATCTACGGGATTTAATGCAGTGAAGTAATAATTCAGTAGATTAGCTTTCTGCCTTTAATGATCCTTAACTTAAGACTTGCAAGTGGATTTCGTGTACAATCCATAAACACTATTACACGTTATTATAAACTCCATATTCTATTTTTTGACAGACAAAAGCCACTGCTGATCAAATCAAGGCTTTCAGTGAAAGTCTGACAAAACTTGGTGATGTTTACGTCAACGATGCCTTTGGGACGGCACATAGAGCTCATGCGTGAGTTAGGCTTGCATATCTTTTTGTATGAATCTTTTTTAGTAATGAGATCATCTTTAGAGTTAGTCGGGCTCGAGAAGCTAGTGATTTTATAAACATGCAACGAATAGGACGACCAAAAAGCCTATTAAACGTGTTCAACACTGTATAAATTAATGCGCAACGCTCAATTGAGTTGTATATCGTCAGCCTCCTACAAGTCAGTCAGAAAGATTACTCAATTTCCAGCATGATAAACCCACTTGTTATCAGTTGGAGAACAATTATTCCATTTGGCTTAAGGAAATAAATCAAAATCAAGAAGATATGTGTTATGAGCACTTTTATTACGACCCAGCTACTCTTATTGCTTAGTGTTCCTGACACCACTTCACCCGACATGTCTCCAGAGCAGAACACAGTTGGAGAGAAACATAGTTGTATTCTAAATAGCAAGATAGAATGAGAACAAGAATCACAATAAGGAAAACAGCATATTTACGATTATTCACTAGAAACTTTTAGTCTTCCTCAAGTATACGCTAACACTGGCTGCGAAATAGCTGTGCATCGCCCTAAGTTGTTATACCTCACATCAACAGAGTAGATCATGATTAGAAACAAATGGAAAGAAATAACACCTATGAACCATATTGTTTGTTGTTTTATTTTACAAATATAATTTTTCAGAAACTCATACATTAGTATGTAGAAAAAAATTTCAGCTTAGTCTATGACTTAATAAATGTGAAACATGGCCATTAATGGTAGAGGTTATTCATAGGTTACTGGTATTCGATCGTGGGTGTCTATGAAGCATTGCTCGTGCATTTTAGGACCACGGAGTAAGCCATAACTGGGTTGTGGATAAAGTACCCTGTAAGGATTTAAAATCGATTGGTGAGGTATTAAATCTTCACCAACTGAGGTGGTTGGTGTTGTGACTTTAAATTCGGCTAGTTATCACGTGATCTATTCGCCAATCGAAGTACGACCTGTACAATCTTAGCACTGTGTCTAACCAATGACGTTCGACTTGTATTAACAGCCTAGCGTCCTTTGTTCACCTAGCCCGTCCAGTTGAGTCCAGAACACAGATACCAGCTTCCACTATGCGAATCATTTATTTCAAACATACTCGGCTTATATACTTGTTATAATCTCTTTTTTACGGTTATGACCCAGCTATTCCTATAACTTAGTAATCTTGGACACTAAATCACTCGATAAGACCCCAAAGCAGAACATGGTTGAACAGGAAAGAGATATTCCAAATAACAAGGTTAGATGGAAGCAAGGTGCAAGCCAGAAGCACAATAGGGAAAACGTCAGTATATTTATAGTTTTTTACATAAGAAGATTCCAGAGTATTCTCCAACTTTCGACTAGTGCTGATTGGATAAGAATTAGCCAATCAGCGTGCACCAAAGCATTCATGCATTGAGCATGCTTTGATCTAGTCTATGTCCCGCTAACAATACTAGTCAGACGGACAACATCACACCATAAAATAGGAAATAATATTTATACAAGATTAAGCCAAAAATGGCTATGAACGTGGGAGACTGTAATCAATAAACTAAGTATAATTCGAGAACAGTAAATCATATAATATTAATCTACAGGTCAAAATGTACCAATGTTTATGTGTTTAAATAAATAAGAAGTAGAAATAAATGAAGTTTATAATAATAGGAATATAGATATACATAACCTAGTTACTGAACAGTTATACAATAGGCATATATATATTAGTCCATTAATAGTTCACAGAAGTTACCCGTAATTTAATCTTCACTATAATATAACCATTGGCGTGAGAGTAAGTTTGGATAAACACCAAGGGAGGCCAAACCAAAACATGTCATCAGTCCACGAAGTCTGTGACAGTTGTACTTAGCCATGTTGTTAGGCGCAGATTATCTGGTTAGGGTCCGCGTGATTATCGTAACCAATGAACTTTGAATGATATGGCTTAAGATCGTTTGTAATTGCGCAGGTGAACCTGTTCTTTGTCTTCCCTGAAGTTCTAAATTCCTCACAACTATTTTGTTTTCATTTTATTAGTTTATACTTTCTTTTCGAGTTGTATCTTTGATGCCTAATCTTTCCTATCATTACTGAAACTTTTAGTGCCTCTACTATTCTGGAATTTGGCCTGACAACTCGATGTGTTGATGGGGCATAGCAACTTGAACCGATGTACATGCATACAGGTTTTGACGGACCGACTATCACCTTTCTAACTAAAAATCAAACACATAATAAAGTTTCTGGTTCTGAATATAATCATTCAAGACAATATCATTCTACATTTTCCACTGTTTTCGTTATAATTCAATATTGGATCATTTTAATGTTAGGTTACTAAATTACTTAACAGGTATAGATTCGTCTACTTTGAGCCACATTGTGCGATAACCAGTGATACTAGCTTGTTCCCCAAACCGGAGTAGGTGAGATTCACAGCTGCGTTTTTATGACCAGAAGTCGATGGCCCTAACCACTCAGCCACAGCTTCACATTCTTTGGATAATGAGTTTTTTGTATAGTTTATCCTGGTTTTACGTAACTCAACCATTTCTTCGTCATTTTGCTTTATAGTTCTATGGTTGGCTGCCAACTGCCACAAAAAGCCTGTGGATTTCTCATGAATAAAGAACTGACATATTTCGCCAAAGCTTTGGAAAATCCAGAACGTCCTTTCCTAGCTATTTTGGGAGGGTAAGGATTTTGTTGATTTGCTGCATATGTGTCCAATATATTAGTATATTTTCAGGTTTCAAACCAAATTTAAGCTGTTATATATAGTTAAAGTAATTCCTTTCTTTTGTCTAGTGCCAAGGTTAGCGACAAGATCCAGTTGATCAATAATATGCTTGACAAAGTTAATGAATTGATCATCGGTGGTGGGATGGCATATACATTTCTTAAGCAAATACACAACATACATGTAGGTCACCGTATATTTTTGTATTTGTATGTAGACGTTTGTATTATATATTAGCATTAGTAACAGTACCTGGAGTAAATTTTCCACTTTTCTATCTTCACAGTAAAAGTTGTAAGAAGTAAATAAAGCGCGCTATGTCTTAGTGGTTTCTCATAAGGGCTACGACTTTAACGTTTTGTTTATAAGAAAACTGCCTCTTTCTACCGATACTCTTTTTCAGTATCATCTGTAGGCTCTATCGAATTTTCCTTCTATTAACTTCTACACAGTGACCCGCGAACGAACAAAATAGGGCTCGATGCAAGAGAAGACAAAAACAACAGATGGAGACGTACTTAAACCCATCATGTCTCAGTACACTTATGTGTAACTTCAAATTAACAGCTAAGCTTGAAGAACTATAATTTGTCTGGTGTCTGACTAATCCTTAAGTAAAATTTTAGTTGTGTAGTCTTACTTCGTTGATTCAGTTATCCCGTTCTTCAAACAAATCCCCCCTCCATCTGTGCAGACGTTAGTGTTTATTGCCTAGTTAAATTTAACTGTATGATTTTAGTTAGCATTAGTCGGCTCTAACTCTATTGTAATCAACCGAGATTATTATGTTGTTATTTATTTATTTATTTATTTGAACACATAAATATTGGTACAAGAGGGCACCAAATTTATATGCGCCACACAAAACAACGAGAATTTAAGGACAAGGAAAAAAAGGTAAGGAGCGTGGAAGAAAAAGAGAACAATAACGAACAGATTGATGTAAGGTAGTGTAATAATAATAGTAATAATGGGGGAACGGAACGGTACAGTCAGAAGAAATCTTTCAGTTAAGGAAGTAGCAACCACTTCTGTTCTGAGCCATATCTGATAACGTCTCTAGCCACTGTGTAGCACCATCTCTCGGACCTCAGCCAGGGAGTCGTGAAGGACCAACACAAGCCAGTCCTTTGCAGCTTTCTTTCATACCACGACACCATGTCATGCACTGCCCACCTCTCCGCTTCTTCCAACCAGTCCCAGAGTCGGCAAATAATGCACGACGTGGTATTCTCTGAGACGACATTCGGAGAACATGTCGAAGCCACCGAAGTCGGTGTTTCAAGATGGTGATATCAATTGAATTATCGTCTCTGTGCCCGAACACACGATGCCGAACCTCTGCATTACTGACATGGTGTTGCCACTGAATGTCAACAATCCTTCGGAGACAACGATGATCGAACACAGAGTCGTCTAAGGTCCTCAACTCGGAGAGGCCAGGTTTCACAAGCATAGAGCATAACTGCTCTCACCGACGCGTTGTAGATACGACCTTTTACAGCAGACTAACATCACGAAGACACCAAAGATGGCCCAGATTGGCATAAGCCGCTCTGGCTTTCACTATACGTGCATTGATCTCATCACTCACACTCCCCACCAGCACTTATGCAGCTATCCAGATACACGAACTTCTCGACTGCTTCAATCTGCTCACCGTCCAGGGTGAGTACAGGATTAGGATCCTGCCAGTCTTGTAGACGTACTTTGTACTTCGAAGGTGCAGATTCACACCGTCATTACCTACATCCATCAGAGCTGTTTCCAGAATGTCATCGATGGCAAAGTTGAAGAGGAATGGTGAGATTGGGCAACCCTGTCTAACCTCACTGCTCGAATAGAACAATGGAGAGAGGTGGTTGTATGCCCTCACTCTGCCTGAGGTGTTTGTTTATAGGGCCTTTAGGATGTTAGTAAACTTCTCAGACACACCCTTCTTCAATAGACACTTCCAGAGAACAGTTCTGTCCAACGAATCGAAGGCAGCCCTTATGTCAAGAAACACTACGATTGTCGGCCTTTGATAAGTATGGCGGTGTCCTAACATTTGGCGAAGGGTGAAGATATGATCAATACAACCTCTACCAGAACGAAACCCAGCCTGCTCCTCACGAGTCAATCTTTCTCGGGTTTTGAACAACCTACGAAGAATGACGGAAGCCAATAGCTTGGACGCAATCGGAAGTAGACTTATCCCCCGATAGTTGTTACAGGAACGACGTGAACCCTTTTTAAAGATAGGGACAACTATCGACTCATTCCATGACGTTGATACACTCTCTAGCTCCCACACCTTTGTAAACGACGTCGTCAATTCCTTAGTCAGAAAGTCACTATTATCTTTAAAAAGAAACAGAGGTAAGTCATCTGGGCCAAGTGATTTGTAGCGCTTCAAGAATTGGAGTTCCTTGCGGACTTCCTCCTCATTTGGTGGATCAGTCGTCACCGGCCATAGAGGGCAGGACAGTCTGACCGATGTTCCTGGGGCGTCAGGTCGGCTGAACTGCCCCTCAGATGCGTTGGAAGAGCTTCCGGTAGTTACCAGATGCAGCTGCTGCTTCCAGCTCATTAGCACGCTCCGACCACCAGGCTTCTCGGTCCGTACGCAAGCTTTGCTCGATTTCATTACGTAACAGTCGTCGTTTGTGGTCAAACTCACGGTTACCCGGAGTAGACCGACGGGCTTCGATGAGTTGTACGGAGCCTGAAGAAACCCAGTGCTTGTAAGCGGGACGTTTTGCGAACCCGCAACTGAATTTACTCTCCATTTTGATGGTGTCATGCAATTGCAACCAATGCTCATCTATACATTTCGGTGGAATGGTAGCCAGCCTAGAAGCTAGCTCTGTTTGATACTTACTAGCAACAGAAGTTGCAACCAACTTGCTAACATCAACCCTTTGGTGACGGTCACTTCGTTGGCCACTGAAAAGCAAGGTAAGATAGGCGCAGACCAAGGCATGATCGGAGTCTAGATAGGTACTTAAAAAAGAGAGGCAGTCCTGTACGCAACCATGCCAGCGGTAACTGATCGCGATGGGATCAACCTGAGTCCAGGCTTGAGATGCAGAGGGAGGACGCCAGGTGGCACATCGGCGATAGCTGTACCGGAAGTTAGTGCTAGTCAAAAGTAGGTTGTGGTCTGTGCACAGTTTCATTAGACGGTCCTCGTTATCTGTCCTGCGACCATCAAGTCCCAATCGGCCACCTAAACAACTCTCTTCTGTGTCTAGACGCCCGACCTGAGCATTCAATTCTCCGGCTAGTACTACAATATCTGTCGAACGCAATTTCTGGAGAAGAACAGTTAACTGGCGGTAAAACTCATCCTTGATTGCATCCGGGCTGCAATCTGTCGGGGCATAGGCGGAGATGACGGAAAGACATCGTTTCTCACGGCGATTTCTTCTCACTTTGATGGAACTTTCTAATCTAACGGAAAATAACCGACTGTTAATGGGGATCCAATCGATTAGTGCTGCCTCTGCTCTAGCGCTTAGTGCGACACCAACACCATTAAGACCAGACGAAGATGCCACAGGGTCCCCGGATAAGCGCACGTAAAACAAGCTTTTCTATGCGACAGATGGAGATCGAATTTGTAGTACTTCGCCAGATTCTTGAATACGGGTCTCGGATAGACAACAAACATCAATATTAAGACTTCCTAAAGACATAGCCGGCCCTATCTGTTGTCCGACCTGCATAAATGTGCGAACGTTGAAGGCAGCCAGTTTGAATGGTGCACGTGGTTTCAGAAAAACTGCCTCAGTATTCGTATTACAATTTTCAACCGGACAGTGACTTGAGATCGTTTAGATAGAGTCGGATTTCCAATATAGACGAGCTGCTGTATAAGTCGAAAAATAAGGATACATAAAGTGGGAATAAAAGAGAGTGAATAAATGACGTAGCAAATAATAATAATAATATGAATTGGTTGACTGTAAATCGAAGCGAGAATAGAGTTTTCAGTAAATACCATCATTATCATTATATTTGTACGTGGGCTGTGATACTTCCCGGGTGCCCAGACCGAAGCAGGTGGTTTTCTTAGGGGTCACACCTCGAGCCTTTGACCTAAAAGTCTAGCCCACAAGGCAATGGAGCATCGTGTGGAGGTGCAGTCCCATGGTAGCCGGTGACCAAGATTGATTCCAACGCCATTTGTTCCCTCAGGATACTAGAGCCCATGTGCACCATTGGTTTGGGATCTGGTTAAAGCTCCAGATATTCGCTTTTCGTCCTCTCATTTTCGTAAACAACACCCCCGCCATGAGAAGGCAGTGAATAGGACTTCCCTGGCATGGATGGGATTTATTGGTTTCTCGTGTGATTTTAAAGTGACGAACTCTTTCTATGTATTTGCGGATTTCATTTTGAACAGATAAGTCTACTCAACATACATCTTTGTTAAATTATGTATCACTTTGAGTCCTTACACTTCAGCACAGTTAAGTGTAATGGCTAAGAAAGAAAATTGTAGAAAGTTAATGATGGAAACCGTTCTTAATGTTTGAAGAAAAAAGGTTTATACAAACAGTATTTTTACGTTGATGAGGTAAAGAAAAACAGAGTACAGGTGTGCCACTGTGTTTAGTTTTGAGTTTTGTCCTTAAAGTCAGCAATCATCGGTTACGACCATACCGCGCATGCTAATATGGAAGTTGTGTCTTCATATATGGTTCAGACTAATGGTAAATGGCTTCTAAGATCAACGTCATATATTGGTCTAGTCGCTGTTAGATTCTCAGTGAAGATTATAGGTGAATTATTTGACGTTTATCCATTCACCTTAGGTCTGTGAGATTGGTTAGTATTATTGATTCATAAATCAACTAACTGGGAACGTAGTGGACTGACATATTTTCCAGGTTGCCTTAATTAACGTGATTATTTTTCATACTTTTATACCAAATAAAATGGTTCTGTAGTAGGGGGTAGCTGAACTTGCATTACAGGTATTTTAACAGCTTCAGTCAATCTAAGCTTACGAACTTACTAACTGATTTATCATATTTATCTAGTATTCTGTGTATCATAATATTGTTAAGCTATTTCACCATAGTAAATTCAAATAATGTTTTAGTCACATCGATTATGAAATTTTTTCAAATCTTGAATATGCTATGCACTCAATGCTCACGTCTCACCTCTAGAATGTACGTAAGTAAAATGTTTATTTGTCTTTTCTTATTTTCAGATAGGAAATAGTTTATTTGATGCACCGGGTGCAGAAATCGTTCACAAAGTAATGGAAACTGCAAAGGCTAAAAATGTTGCAATTCACTTACCTGTTGACTTTGTAACTGCTGATAAATTTGCTGACGATGCGAACACTGAAGTAAGAACTATACAATCTGGAATTGCCGATGGTTGGATGGTGAGTTAAACTTTTATTCATAACAGAAGTGAATAACAAATGTGTTTGTCAGTAATTTTTTATTATTTTGTCTATCAACTTTAAACATAGACATCTAGCCTTCCAATTCAATCAGAAGAAAATTTACTTAATAGTAAGGTAACTTTTCTTTACAATAGCCTCCAAGTACTCTGGACGGTCGAGGATGGGAAGAGTCCGCTATCCTTCTCATGGTCACCCGTATATAGCCGCTTCCAAGGAAGTGCTAACTGCATTTTAACGGCGAGGTTTTTGTTTACGGAATTGAATGAACAGGGAGCAAATGTTCGGCGCTTTTGTCGAGTTGGTGGATACTGAAAATCCACCTAGGGGAGTAGCTAGGAAACCATGATTACAAACTCATGGGACATATTATCTCCAGTATACTGAGGGAATAAATGACGTATAAACCTATTGTTAGTCACGCGTTACCGCGGGACAACATCTCCTAACGTTGCTCCACTGCCTTGTGGATTAGACATCTATGTCGAGCTCGTAAAGTGGCCTCCTAGGAAAACCGAATCCGGACAGAATTCCAGCCCACACAAATTGAATGATAACTACTTTATGTGGCGCACATAGATTTTGGCACCCCTTTGTAGCAATCCTTGTGTTTAAATAAATAAAATAAGCATCATTTGGAGAAATATTGTGAATGAAAAAGCGCTAAACAAGTATATCTTTAGTTTTGGAAAGAAGTATGGATAACTAATGGCACTAAGGGTTCGCAAAGGAAACTCCGAGCTATTCAATCCGGTAATTACTATATTCACTCTTTTACATCAAGACATTTTTAAGTATATAAAGATGATCCTTCCTTTTTCATGTGTTCGAGTGCATTGTATGCATAAAAACTCAGTTTACAAAAATAAAGTTGTCGGTAAAGGAATCCTCATTAGTGAAATCTGTTACAATAGATTAAATGTTTTCACTAGGTGCATGGTATTTGTTTTGTTGTACGGCGTGCTTTACCCCATAAAAATCAAGTAAATCACTAAATCAAGATTCATATGTTTACGTTAAGAATACGCTTCCTATATTATCTAATGTTGAACACCTTTGGATAACATCTAACCGCGCTAGTTCCCTTGCACTGGATTTTTATTAATTTCATAAGGGATTAGATATTGGTCCGAAAACAATTGAAGAATTCAGTAAGGTGATTAGTCGTGCCAAGACTATTGTTTGGAACGGGCCGATGGGCGTTTTCGAAATGGACAAGTTTGCAAGAGGAACGAAAGCAGCAATGGATGAAGTGGTCAAAGCTACTAAGAATGGTGCTACAACTATTATTGGTAAGTTGTATTTATCCAATTCCATTATCCTCGTTGAACTAATACACTACTTTTAATGAGTTATTTTCATTTTCAAAGTAGTAAGGTGTATAAACCATAATCAAAATTGCAGGCAGTATTACAAATTTATGTTTTGATATCCATTAAATTTGAAAAAACCTATCCTTTTGCATATGGAGTCCTTATTTTCATTTGTTTCTGTTTAAAAATCTGTGTTAATATTTTCTCCAATATTTCTGTAGGTGGTGGTGACACCGCAACATGCTGCGCCAAATGGGACACAGAAGATAAAGTTAGTCATGTCAGTACTGGTGGTGGTGCTAGTCTTGAACTTCTCGAAGGTAGGAATGGCTTCAGTCCAATTACTTGCATTTAATTTCTGTATGACGGTATGATCGGCACGTTTATGTTATATTTGACATTGATTTCTCTAATCTGGAGTCCAATCTACCAGTTAGTACTTTTCCTGCTTAGGAGATAGACTGCCTTAAAAATAAATTTGGTTGTATTATATATACTGCAGCTATGGAGTACAAGTTATACTTAAATTGTTTTAATTCAAAAATTTATGTATTCAAGTAATGCAGTTTCACAGAGAAGAATGTTTAAGCGGAACGTTTTCATTAACTTAAGATACAGACTTCACAACCATGAATCCTTAAATATTATGTTATCGTTGTGAGAGGTGGTTTAGTGCTTAAAGATTTTGATTTTCAACCAGTAGTTCCTATGTTTAAGCCCCATTCTGTTTTGGCATTCGGGTAATGTCACGTGCCTTAACACCAGGAGTATTATTATTGTTGTGAATACAGTAGCCGGTATAAGTCAGGCTTATAAGCAGTCAGTTTCGCGCACTGAAAATAATGGCTTTGACGTTGATTCTGGCGTTTTATGTCATTGGTACAGTTGACAAGTCCTGTATTAATGTCTCGAAAAACTTATAATAAGTTGATATCAGCAATCTTGAATCCTGGGGGATTTAGCACACAATGTGTTGCATGGTTATTATAATCATAGCAGTAATGACCACAGTAATATATTAATAGATTTAATACTGCATATACTGAATATAATTTTATTGGAAACAAATATTCATTTTTTTTACCATTCACTTAGTTAGATGTGTTTGTTTTCATCAAAGCAACTGTAATTTCCCACCACATAACTGACTTCAAAAAGTCGTAAATCAAGATGCATTAGATATCCGTTTTGTCGCAGTATGGGGCTCCTTAGCAGTGCATATCTTCGATTCCACCGGGGGCTGAACTCACGGTATACGTTAAATGTTTTGTCTTCTTTATTATAAATATGTTCTTGTTTTTCTGTTTCAGGTAAACAATTACCCGGAGTTGTTGCACTTACGGATGCTCACTAATGTGTTTGGTCATAATATCCCTTAACTTCATAATTAATTATAATTAGTGTTCTTACCTTCGAATTTTCACACTTGTTCTCAGTTCTATGATTACTTGGTATTGTTATACATGTGTTCTTGATTTGATGGATATTTCTTCTGTTTCATTTCTGTACGTGTAGATGTATTTCTTCCATATGCGCATTTGCTACCAATAGAAATTTCCGGTAACTGTTTTTTTCCACATATGTGCGTAGCCATTGCCCATTATTTCTGAATATGTCAGAATAATTATTCACATCTTCAAGTGGTATATTCAAAAGGTGTTGTTGGCATTTGATTGTAACATCATTCATGAACGAAACTTTTGTCATATGTTTAGTATCAATAATGCTATTACGTTATCTGTCAGATTCATCGCAATTATCAAATCTCCGATTAAATGTTTGTAAAAATACAGGAAAAGGCAAAGTAGATCTTCCAAAATGTCCAAGACATTGATTTCCTCGTTATAGTTAAGCGTGTCGTACATTATGTGAACGTAAGCATGATATCGTAAAAAAGTAGTTATAGAGACTCTGATGCAACGGAGATCAAAGAAATCCTGTAACTATGGCTGATTATCCTGCTTCTTTCAAAGTGTTTCCGTATGACTAAGCTTAAACTAATAACTGTCGATGAAACATTAGGTTGTCTGACCAGAATTCCTGTGATGGTCAAAATTAATGGTTAAATATTTAAAGTAAAATATCTAAGTGTTGTTGCTAATTGACTCATTGATACTGATTGTTTTGATAACCGGTTTTCTCAAATTAGGATCATAAAACAAATGATAACGCTAATAATTTGTCGACATCTATCTTCATTAAGCCACGACTATCTGTCTTTCTACAATTGTTGACTACGCTATTTTTAATCTTCAATTTTATGGTATGGCATTTATATACAGCGATCAGTGCAAAGTGGAGAGTACTACAGATTATGCCATTTAGTGCTTAACGATTGTTTGAACTGGTGATAGTGTTAAGGGGGTGATAAAACGTTTTAGGTGTCGTCTTGACTTTCTTCTAAGTGACATAAAATAATTACTCCTTGTCTAATAGATAAGTGATTAATAATTAATCATTCCGGCTTCAATTTTCCGAACATGAGCGATAAATTTGTCGTGACTACAAAACTTACTATAATCCCTTTTGAGTTGGAAACAGTATGGGAAAATGTTTAATTTACTGATTGATTGATCAACGAGATTGATCTTCATGGGTAGTTTGCAACGTTATCGACTTTAAAAATCAACTGGTTTAAAATAACGATAAAATTAACTAGTCAATCCTGACGATGAAACTAGAGATGATTGATCAGCCCATTAATGAGTATTGTGATTGGATCCATTCGATCGTGACTATATGTACCGTTAAATGCTTCATCATTCGTGCTATTCGGGTTTGGTAGATGTAATAGACCAATTAGATCTAATTATTATAGATTTATAACGAGATGCACTGACAAACTAGAAGCTGTATGCTAAGCAAGGGGTAGCTTGTGTCCTGGTAACCAACTAAACAAGATGGTCTTTATTTTTTCAGCATTTGTCTGTACTCATAATAAGCTTGCTGTGGAGTGGCAAGACAACTTGTTAGGAAAATAAGTGACGTGCTTGGATCATTACAGCGTTATCATTATATTTTCACTCCACTATATGTCAAAACTCGAAATGTACCAAGTACAGGTACGTTTATAGGACGTTGAGTATTTATAGATAACACATCCAATGACCGATGTGTTACAACTGCAACCTGTTGATTAATAATCGGACACTCAAAATCATGGTAAATGTTTGAGGTATCGTCATCGAGCTTTCCAAGCCGCGATTGTGAAGCTGGCCACATATATATTGTTCTCTGCTAGAAAGTTGGAAATATATCCGGTTTTCGCGTCTTTACTAGCAAACTTACGTGATTTCAGAGGTTTTAAAACAATTAAAGGTGTGTAGTCTAGAAGGTAAACCGAAGACACTCAGTGTTCTTACCAAGCTGCAAATCATGTTATGATATCTGCAACATCGAAGGTATGTGCACTCCACTTCAACCACTTTGATTAAACTAAGCAGTTAGTGTCGGTTATTTGCACTTGGGATTGTGACGTTTTGTCACTGGGAGGGGGATTTTCACTTGTTTAATTTTCTGCAATTTTAGATTTGATCATACGGTTTCATTTATTAAGGTTTGATGAATTCAGAAGTAAGAATGTTTTTATGAAATCACTTGAAATATATGAAGTTTACCAGTGGATACATTTAAGACTTTCGAAATACTCTATCTCCAATAAGTTTAAACAACGTTACTACTAAATAAGTCTGCACCATATGAACCAGTGAATATCTATTTGAACAGTTCGAAGAAATTGTGCTTAAATAGGAATTTTATTATACAAAAGAAAACACTCACTATTCAAAATACAAGTTTCCCTTGATACGCTATTCATTTTAACAGACAATATTAATATAGTTGTAATTATTAATTGATAATATGAAGGTAAAATAACACCAGTGATATAACAGGACATTGAATGGATTATTGGGAGAAATGTTATTTAAGATTTACAAGTATGTAATTAGTTAGTAATAGTGTCTTATTAATAAAGACCGGGAATATAATCAAGTGTAATGTTTATATTCTATATGTGAATATACTATTATCATCAGAATTATTATTAGTTGAAGTATTATGTTTCTGAGTGTTATTTCGAACTATAAATACTTATTGTGTAGTGATGTGAAAGTACTTTATATGCATTGTGTATTTTAAAAATATGAAAACGTATAAAAATCAGCGTTCCGCGTTTAATTGACTAAAAAAAAGTCAATGGTAGGATTTTGAAAATGTATAAACTTGTGTCTGTGTGCGTGTGCAATCAATGATTGATGTGATCGTCTTCGTTAATGTTAAAATAGAACATAAACAGAATAGATTGAATGGTCTGATATATTGCCGATACGTGATTAGATTAAATAACTGACCGATAAATCCAATAAATTTTGTATTAACTAAATATAATTATTATGTCAATACATTATTATAAGTACGTAGTTAGTAGTAATAATAGTGTTTTAAAAATAATAAAATTCGAGACAGATTGTTCATGTATAATGAAGAGATAGAGATTGTAACTGATTCTCTACATCAAGTCCAATTAATAAGTATTAACAATAATTCATATCTTACTCATATGGTTTATCATCTTAAACAGAACATTATTACTAACAACATTTTTTATGTAAGCACAAATATATTGAGGTAGTTTATTATATAGCAAAAAATAATAACAAATGCATTTGTTTCTTTGCTTTTGAAATACATATTTAGACGGTGACCATTTGTATTAAACGGTCATAATGCTTTGATTAATTTGAATTTATTGTTGTACAATAATCATTCTCTATTTACTATTCAATCACATTGAACACAAGTACATTTTTTTGCTAATTTTATTGTTCGTTCATAAACAGCACCATTAGGACAATTAAATAATATTGGACGTAATTTAATTTTTGTAGCTTGACAACAGTGTTGTTTTGTCATTGATGGAGTAGTCTTATAAGAATTAAGATGTACTAAGTAAGGAGAGTTTGATTCTTTCATTTTTATCATATGTGATTGTTTATTTATTAAATTCTGTGGTAACCAAACACGTCCAGAATTAGTTGATCGTTTATGAAGTGCTTTCCATTTATGATATTTTAAGGATTCATAATCATTTGAAATGTCATTCTCACTACTAAATAATTCTTGTTGTTGTTGTTGGAATTTTATGATAGTTGAATCACAAGAACCAGAACACTTACGTATTGATAGTTTTCTTGATGAAATACAATTAGTTTGAGGATCACGAATATATGAACGCTGGGTTTCACGATGACAAACAGGTACTAAAATATTTAAAAGGAAAAAAATTGACTTTGTGATCTAATTTTAAACAACTAACTTGGGGTTTTTATTAGTGCATGTGGTTATAATGGTTCAGTGGACTTATCATGAGAGGATAGTGAAATTTTGCGAATTTCTTCACTTGCTCGTTTACGAGGTATAGATTCACGTATCTAGCTTTGAGCCACACTAAATGTTAGGACCATGGTTACTAACCGTTTTTCGTAACCGAAGTGAATGAGTTCGAGTTCCCACCTACGACTTTGCGGCTCACAGTCAAAACTCTTAATTAACGAGCCACTCCGTAATTCATTAGATACTGTTAAGCTACTCATCCCACTATCTCTTATGAAGCGAAATCTATGAGGATATTTATTATAAGGAACATTTCGTCGATAAATCCTTAAGCTACGATCTATCACCTGTTATACTTAGATGTAAATGAATTCATAGTTCAGTAGTTTAGGCTCAAACTACCCAAATTAGGCTTCTTTGATTATAATAGTAACGGTATTTTAAGAATTCTTAAAAATTGTCTTTGAATTAACTGAAGAATGAGTAGATGTCTAGATTTAAGATTGGTAGTTTTGTGAAACTTGAGTAATTTTAAGTGAACATTCCATAAAAACTAACAAAGTGCTGGAGTTCATAAATTCTATCAAAACAGAGTTATAGTTTATAATCGGTAAGACGATCGAACAATCGTCAGACAGTTTCAAATTGGTTTTACTATTATCACTACTAGTAGTGATTCATGATGAACATTGTCTTGGAAATGATTGGTTTTTTCCTCAACAATTTTTCACTGAATAGGAATATATTTTTCTTTTTAAGTTTGTTAATGATCCAAAAAATTCGATGATAATAATTTTTTCAGGTGTATAACTTACTTTCTAGTTGTTATTGAATACTAACAAGAAAGAAATTCATTGACACGAACTAGTGCTAATTGTCCACAAACTTATCATAAGCTTTATTTTGACCTATGAACTGTTATTATGCGACTCACCATTCTTGAGTTATGCCCTGTCTATCAATTACTATCTCCCTTATTCACAGCTACATTTGGCTAAATCTTGTACAAATGTTGCTTTCATATTTTATGGTACGATGTGGTCTGTCTGGTTGATATATAGATAAATGATTCATATCGCAGAGGCTGAAATTGGTGTTCTAGACTTAACTGACTGGGCTAGGCAGAAAACAGGACCGATAAGTACTCTAGACTGCTCGTACATGTTTTATACGTCATTGGCCCGATAGGTAAATTACTGTTCTCTAATTGGCGTTATCATCACGTCATACATTAACAGGGCACACAGGTCACAAGTTATAACATAATGCCAAGTTAGTATTAGGGCGAACAATTTTGACTGAATCATTAAGAGTTGTGCATTCTACTTATTCTGATCAATAGACGTCTTACATTACCAGTAGTCTTAGTTTTTAATATAACTATGAATTAGTACACTTCAAAGAATGAAACTTGTTCTTCTGTTTGAAACATTTTTTACACGACAAGATGAGCCAATTCATATTTATGCACAACTCTACGTTGTTTATGACTAAACGGTGCATTTAT